TGTTCTTTCTCCCAGCTCACAGGGCCTGGCCTTAGGAGATACCTGGCTTAAATAACAGCTGTGTGGAAGAGAAAAATTCCAGCCTTCTGGCTCTCCTGACACCTCCCTCTGGCTAGTAGTCTTGGAGGGAGGACAGAGGTCAGATGACAACTTTTGGGAGTCAGTTCTTACATTCTGCCTTCTTGAGACTCTCTGGTTTCTTCTTTCTTTCTCTTTGTTTGTTTGTTTTGTATTTTCAAGACGGTCTCACTATGTAACTCTGGCTGTCCTGGAACCCATTAGGTAGACCAAGCTGGCCTTGAACTCACGATGATTCACTTGCCTCTGCTTCCCAAGGCCTGGTTTCTGCTGCTTCACAGCAAACTCCAAGTTAGCTGGCCCATAAGCTTCCAGCTGATTCTTCTAGTTAGCCATTAGGGTGCTGAGAGTACAGATGTGTGCTACTGCATCCAGGTCTTTCCATAGGCTCTGAGAATCAAACTCAGGTCATCAGACTTGTACCAAAACCACTTTTATCCACTGAGCCATCTTGCCAGGCTACAGTTTTCATTTTTTTAAAAAATATTTATTTATTTATTATGCATACAGTGTTCTCCCTGCATGTGTGCCTGTACACCAGAAGAGGGCACCAGATCTCACTACAGATGGTTATGAGCCACCATGTGGTTGCTGGGAATTGAACTCAGGACCTTTGGAAGAACAGCCAGTGCGCTTAACCACTGAGCCATCTCTCCAGGCCCCAGTTGTTTTTTTGTTTTTTGTTTTTTGTTTTTTTAAAGTCAAGCTTGATGTTCAAAATATAGAACAATGTTCACTTCCATGACAAACATATATGTGGTCACGAGAGCACTAAAGCAATCAAGCTACAGAATAGCTCTATTACCCCAGGTCCTCTCAGGACAGACGATAGAGGTGGCAAGATACTCTCTCTCTCTCTCTCTCTCTGTCTGTCTGGAGGCGTGGAGAGTGGGACACCAGGACAAGGGTTCCCCACTTGCATGTCCTTCCTCATTCTGGAAGATGGTCGAGATCAGGTGAGCACAGGGACAGAGTAGCTCTGCTTTCATCTACAACTTTGAAATCCTGTTCATTGTTGATTTTGCTTTTCTTTTTCATCATAGGTGATCATGTTCACTTTTATTTTAAAGATTATCAGGACCACAGGTGTAGCGGCATATGCCTTTAGTCTCAGCACTCAGAGGCAGGTGGATCTCTGTAATTTCAAGATCATCCTGGTCTACATATCAAGTTCCAGACCATCTAGTACGGTGAGACCCTGCCTCAGAAAATAAATCATCAGGAGCCAGGGAGATGGCTCAGCAGGTAAAGGTGCTACTACTAAACCTGCTGACTTGAGTTGGATCCCTAGGGAGGAGAGAAGCAGCTCCTGAAAGTTGTCCTCTGACCTCTACACACATGTAAGTGCACACAATAAACAAAGATGTAAAACACTAGCCAGGTGTTTTCCTATGTATTACATAGGGAACCAAGTGATTTAGTAAGACCCTTTTCTAAACAAACAAACAAACAAACAAACAAATAAATAAATGGATGAGTGGGAATATAGGACAGTGGCAACATGTTTGCTTAGCATTTGTGGGGGCCTGGGTTAGACCTTCAAGACTTGGGGTGGAAAACATCTGCATGGTGGCCATCGTCCTCCCAGTTCCAGTTCCAAGAGCACCTTTTCCACACACATTTTTTCCACATTCACTTACGGCCACCTGGGCCAAGGCCAAGCTCCCATAGACTCCTCGTTAGTAGGGAGATAGCTGTGGAAACAGACAAGAGCACTGACAGCTGTGGGGATGGGGACAGGTATGCAAGGGGCTGACATGGGGGAGGGGGAGGCAGGAAACGCTGCCTACAAGATGGCGGGGAGACTGGGGCAGAGGAAGGTAGGACCTAGACAGAGTAAAGTAGGGGCTGTGTCCTGGGGAGCAGGCTCTGGGCAGGTGCCTGCTCGGGAGAAGGGCTCTCCTGATGCCACCTCTTGTTACTGGCTATGTTGCATGTGGGGATAACTTATGTAGTCACCTTTTGAAGTCCAGAGCTGTGCCATCCACTGTGGCGGCCCACTAGTCACAAAGCTGTGGGTGTTTGAAAAGTGACTGGTCTAAATGGGGGCAGGCTGTATGTATAAACTGCATATTAGATTTTGAAGACTAAGTACAAAGAAAGAATATAATATATCTCATCAATTATTTTTAAAATATTGATTACACATTGAAATGACTATAGTTCTGATTAGGATAAATAAAATGTTGAGCCCTTATATACTATTTACCATATTGAAATTAGTCTCGTATCTTATTTATTTATTTATTTATTTATTTATTTATTCATTTGTTTGTTTATTTAGAGACAGGGTCTCACTCTGTGTCACTGGCTAGCCCAGATCTCACAGAGACCCACTTGTCTGCCTCTGCCTCCTGAATGCTGGGATTAAAGGTGCGTGCTTCCTCACCTGGTTGTCTTCTTCTTCCTCCTCCTCCTCTTCCTCCTCTTCCTTCTTTCTTCTTCTTCCTTCTTCTTTTTGAGATAGGATTTCTCTGTGTAGCCTAGGCTGTCCTGGACTTGCTTTGTAGACCAGGCTGGTCTTGAATTCACAGTGATCTGCCTGCTTCTGCCTCGTAGAGTTCTGGGATTACAGGTGTGTGCCACCATGCCCAGCCTTCATTTTCTTCTTTTTAAAGATTTATTTTTATTTATGTGTATGAGTGTTTACCTGCCTGTATATACAAGTACCACATGAATGCAATGTCTAAGGAGGCCACAAAAGGACATTGGATCCTATGCAATTGGAGTTACAGATGGTTGTGAACCATCATGTGGGTGCTGGAAAATGAACCCAGGTCCTCTGCAAGAGCGGCCCATGCTTTTATCCACTGAGCCATCTCTCTAGCACCTCTTTACTTTGTTTGTTTGTTTGTTTGTTTGTTTTTCAAGTCAGGATTTCTTTGTCTAGCCCTAGCCATATTGGAACTCACTCTATAGATCAGGCTGACCTTGAACTCAGAGATCCCTCTGCCTTCTTTATTAGAATTAAAGGTGTGTTTAATCCACCACTGCCTTGCTCATTACTTTTTAATGCTGTAGCCTAAATTATGTTTCTAGGTGCCAGTTTTTAGTCTAGAGCCTAATAGACAAACGAGGACCAGGCAGGATCTAGAAAAGGAGGCAGGAGCCAAGACACTAAGGAGGATGAAGGAGGAAAAGATGTATCAGGGATATGACCTTTGGGAGCAGTGGCCAGAGTCCATGGCCCACTTTGGCTCAGTAGATGATGTCATCCTGACCTCTGAACTTCCAGCCTCTTCCTTGTAATCTGGGTATATGGAGAACAGTGCTGCTCCACAGAGCTGCCCGTGAGGAGCTTGCGGAGTGTAACTGGCACTCATTGATAGCATCATCCTATCTGGCTATGCACTAGGATTTGGTTCTCAGGGGGCTGATCAGGCACTGGTGGGCTGCAGACTGTGGAGGGATCCATGTTTCAGAAAGACCCTCTAGACTAGGGCAGGGGACCAGAGCAAAGGCTGCACAGAAATTCAGTCAAAGAGTGTCTATGTACATGAGAGAGTGGCCTGCTTCTCAGTCAGGTTAAAAATGAAAGCCATAGGACAAGGTTCTGTATAGCATGTGGCAGGCAAGAGAAGGCCAGGAGCATTACAGACGTTTCTGACTGAGCGATCAGGTAGGGAAAGGCTCAGTGGGACTGTGCCAGCCCTGAACCTTGGGATCAGGTTCTTTTTCATCTCTGTTCTTGGGGCCTAGGTGTTCTTGTTATGAGGATGCGGGGAAAGTGCTTTCTGAACAATGAAAAGGCCAAGAGAACTGCTTTTGAGACACTGGTCCCGGGTTTGCTACTAGTTCGATCTGCCACCTAGAGGATCTCAGGCCCACTATTTCACCTTTCTGGGCTTCAGTCTCCCTGCCTGCAGAATGGGAACAAGGGTAGCACTGATGCATCATGGGTTGTCCTGCAGGTTTGAGGGGTGACGTCTAATCTGTATGCACACAGCAGTGAGTGCTCAGTACTCCAGTCCAGACTCCCCATTGATTTTCACACCCACCACACACAGGCCTTCTCTACCAAGGCCTTCTTTCCCTGAATGAGAGAACCAATAGACCTCCAAAACAGCAAGCACCTGGCTCCTTCCTTCCTCTGCCCTTAAGAAGGAAGATGGAGGCGAGGTGTGGTGTCACATGCCTTTACTCCCAACATTCGGGAGACAGAGGCATCCTGGTCTACAAAGCAAGTCCAGGGCAGCGTAGGCTACACAGAGAAACCCTGGCTTGGAAGAGAAAGAGAGAGAGAGAGAGAGAGAGAGAGAGAGAGAGAGAGAGAAAACTGAATGGAGTCGCTGCATGAAGAACTTTTCTGAGCTGAGAATTTAGAAAATCCTGATTCCTTTCCTTGCCTCACACAGAGACTGATTAGGAGAGGGGCTTAGGGGCTTATAGATCCTTAGTACCTGTCTTCTAGACCTGGCAGCAAGGGGAAAGGCTGGAGGCTTAATAGGACCTAAACTCCTATTTCCAACATGCAGGATTCCAAAATCCCCAGGATGGAAGGGTGAAAACCAAAGTAGAAAGGGGACTTGGGAATCTGGGTGATTTCCCAGACCCTGTCACAGTGACCCAGGAATCCCACCTCAGACTCCATTTCCTCGTGTCCAGCAACTTTTCGGATGGGGCCAACACCTGGCTGATGTTAAGCTTTCAGAGGAACCAGCAGGGCTCAGGAAGGGGATCCCAGGGCAAGAACCAGACAACTCTGGTACTTGGGCCTGTCACTTCCACCTCACGGTGCCTCGATTTCTCCCTTTGTAAAGCAGGGATAATAGAACCTTCCCTCTGGAAAGTGTTGGGATCACTCAACCACACACACACAGCTGGTGAGTCAACCCGCCAGCACCACGGCTGACTGATGGCTGTCCTGTGGTCGCTGGCTCAGTGTCCCCTCCCCTCTCTCTTCCCTTGCTTCTGCTCCACAGTCCCCATTCCCTCCAAAGCTGGCAGCCTCTCCACCCTCTCACTGGCCAAAGACAGCCTGGTTGGCGGTGTCAGCAACCCCAGTGAGATCTTCTGCTCCGTGCCCGGCCGGCTGTCATTGCTCAGCTCAACATCCAAGTACAAGGTGACCGTGGGGGAGGTGCAGCGGCGACTCTCACCTCCCGAGTGCCTCAACGCCTCCCTCCTGGGGGGTGTCCTCCGAAGGTAGGAAAGCCAGCCCACAATCCTACACAGCACCCCAGCCAATATTTTTATTCTCTTCAGACCTTCTCATGGCATCAGAGAAAGGATCAGCCTCACCCCAGGTCCCAACATTATCTCTACCTCAGTTTCTGATAGAGCAGTGAACAGGGGCTCAGGATTGTACATGGTCTGGAGACAGTCCCAGGGACAAAGAAAGAAGTGTGGATACAAAGAAAAAGACTCACCCACACTAAGCTGGGCCAACAGGGTTGGTTTTGGGAAGGGTGGACCTTCCCTTCCCTCTTCCCCACAGCAGCACAGGCCTCACTGGTGTGAGTTTGGGGTGAGCAGCACGGTGGGCCATGTTTTTCTCTCTGCATGCTCTTGCAGCTGGGACGGGGATCTGCTTCAGAGAGAAGGTGTAATGATCTAAGGACTGCATGTGTATGTGTGTTAGGGGATGGCCCTAACACGATGTGAGGTTCCGCGTTAGTTGGGAATGTGTGGCCCATGGTGGGTCCTCTGCATGCCCATCTGCAGCCAGCTGTTTTTTTGTTTCCTTTACTCTTCTCTCATACATGTTTTTCTTTCTTTCTATGCAGCTCGTGGTTTACATGTGTGTACCTCTGTGGGAGGGGCACGTTTGTGGAGTTAGAGGGATATCTTCTTACTCTTGGTCTCTGTACATTCTGTAGGGACCTGTGTTGAATCCCTAGGATTCTGCACACATCTCTGGGACCCTGATAGGTGTGCACATGTGTCTATGTTTTTTGGTGTCTATATCTGTGTCTCTAATGTAATATGTGTCTCCATATTCTTGGAGACACTGAAGGTGGTTTCATCTGTGCATATGTGACTTGGCATATAGTTGTGTCTCCTCGTGTTTGTCATCCCTGTGTTTCTACATGCAGTTTTATGTATGTGCTAAGGTGGGGAAAAGCACCCTCTGATGCTCCCTTGTCCTGCCTACCCTGGGCTGCCCCTGCTATTGAGAGAACAGGGGAGGAATGAAGGACTCCTACAGCGCGGTGCTGTTTCTGACCCAATCTTGACTGTGCTAGAGTGAGGTCAGGAAAAGGCTGGGATTTTTCTCAGAGACACCCCCCCAAACAAGGCTACACCCAGGCCTTAGCAGGGTCAAGGAACAAGGAGCAAGAAATAGAGGTCAAGGAAGGTCTTTTGGGAGTCACTGAGCCTACAGGCGTCTCTTGTCTCCATAGCTGTGTGTATGTCTCTGTATGTTAAGGGCCAAGTCCAAGAATGGGGGCCGGTGTCTTCGGGAACGGCTGGAGAAGATTGGGCTCAACCTGCCAGCTGGCCGTCGGAAGGCAGCCAACGTGACTCTGCTGACCTCGCTGGTGGAAGGTAAGGCCTATGTACTCACGTGACTGTGAGGGGACATGTCCTCTGGTAAGACTTCCTAATGTAGGAGGGTATCACCTAGTCACGTCTGTATCCTGTATCCGAGCATGCACTCTGTGTCGGTATGTAGGAGTATGTGCATGTGATGCATGTGGGCATTCGGCACATCTGAGGATTTAGCCACCCATGGTTCAAAACAGTTGAAAAAGCTGCACCTATGCACACATGCAGACATTTCTGGTCATTATTATCAACAACGCAACTATCCGCAGCAACTATATAGCATTAGGTATTTACCAAGAGACAATTGGTAATCTACAGGGGAATGCATGTAGGTTTATATGCAAAAAGCATGCCATTTTGTGTAAGGGATTTCATACCACATATTTTGGTATTTGTGGGAAATTCTGAAACTAATCCTTTTTGTTTATGTGTCTGTACATACATGTGCACATGAGCTACTTGAGGTGGGGGAGGGAGACTGGCCAGTATTTCGACATGGTAAGTAGGTGGTGGTAGGGTGCATCCCTCTTCCCTGGAGGTTGGTGACTCTGGACTTTGGCTCTGGGACATACTTTGGTCCCAGTTCCATCTTTGAGCTGAGGGTGATGGAAGTGAAGCTGGAACTGAGAAGAGAAACCAGAGAGGGCATCTCCAGAGGCAGGGTGCGCTTTGACCGGGGAATAAGGAGTTCAAAGCTGGGCTCTGGTCTCAGAAGTACCCCTAGAAACATCTCCTCTTTCCCCAGGAGAAGCTGTGCACCTGGCTCGGGACTTTGGTTATGTTTGTGAGACCGAGTTTCCAGCTAAGGCAGCTGCTGAGTACCTCTGCCGACAGCATGCTGACCCTGGGGAACTGCATAGCCGCAAGAGCATGCTGCTGGCTGCCAAGTGAGTAAGGGCACTGTGCATAGCAAACACGGACGCAGTGCAGATATACACATCAGACCTGGGTACATCAGACACTACTTTTGACCACATAGATGTTCACACAGCACACGTGGCACCATACATAGCAGCTAGATTCTTTGTGCACATGGGAACAGTTGTACATGGCATGCGGGCACATATGGGTAGATTCTTTAGGTATCATGTTCATCTCATCTAGACTTTCATGGATACTCCCACAAGCCCCCAAGGGCGTACACGAACACCATGTGAACATATCTATTATATACACACATTGAGAGTGTCATATATAGGCTCACAACATGTGGGTGCTACAGTCACACAAGTCCATGGTGTGACCAGCCCAGGCCCTCGCGTGAGTCCAAGGCTCCCAACAAGGGTTACTCTGCTTCTCTGACCTTTCTCCTCCAGATCTCAGGCCACCCCTCTCTGCAGGTCCCATTCACCTCCCTCACCACCAACCGCAGGCTGCCGCATCAGGTCTTCTCATCTTACCTGAGCCTTCACGGGAACCCTCTGTTCTCTGTTAAACCTACCAGTTCCTAATGGCTCCCACTGCTATTGCATTATCATTAAACCAGGCTCTTCAAGATTGCCTCAGAGCCTGTTTAGCAAACCGGCATCTCACTAAAGTGTACCATTAGTCCATTTGGGCAGCTAGAATAAAATACCCGAAGCGGATCCTGGTTCTTGAGACTGTTACAGATCAAGGCAGCTTCTGTGTCTGGTGAGGGCCTGCTTTCTAACATACAGACAGCATTTGGCTGCTGCTGTGTTCTCCACATGGTAAAAGGAGCAGGGAGTCTCTCTGGCCTTCTTTATAAAGGTACTAACAGCATGGGTAACAGTGGTGCTCAACAGATCAGATATCCTGAATATCAAATATTTATGTCACAATCCGTAACAGTAGCAGAATTACAGTTATAAAGTAGCATGGAATAATTGGGGGGGGGGTATCACAACACGAGGAACTATGTATTAAAGGGTAGCAGCATTAGGAAGGTTGAGAACTACTGATCTACAGGGTTCTTCCCCATGATAGTCACCTCCCAAAGACCCTATCTTCATATCTCAGAAAAGATTTTAGTATCTAAATTTTGGAAGGCTACAAACATTCATTTGGAAGGTAACATTGAGAGGAAAACAACAACAGAGAGGAAGGAAAGGAAAGGAAAGGAAAGGAAAGGAAAGGAAAGGAAAGGAAAGGAAA